CGTCTTATGTAAGGCTCTCTAGCAATAGTGAATCTCAGCTACCTGTTTTGTTTTTCCTTCAGCTTTCACCGAAGTAGAGTCTCTGAGCCCTTCCAAAGGGGTTCAGCTGTCTAAAGAAGAGCTGATCCACTTTAGCCAATTAAATGGTAAGCCTTGGTGTGCCCTCTTTGTAGAACCCAAACGAGGATGATTTTCCCAATTTTGCCTGCAGGAAAGCAGACCAGGCCAGAGTAGATCTTTGGTCTAGATGGGTGGGACAGAAATCTAATAAATAAAATAATTAAAATAAAAACATTCACTTCTTGGAATTCTCTTTTAGGTCCTGTTTCTGATGCTATTACTGTAATTGTGTTTTTGTAATCATGGCAGTACGTCCCATCCCCTCTTTTCCTTGGCCACTAGTAGAGAAGGGGGATGGATTAAGAAAGAAGGATCAAGGGATTTCAGGAATGATGAATTAGGAATTTGTTCCATTTCATGACAAAATGTTCAGAAATTGAGAGAATACAACTACACACCAAGAGCTATACATTTTAAAGTATGAAGCAAATCACGTTGACCAATAAATAATTTGCAGTCACCGGCATGGCTTTTTAAAATGTGGTGTTGGTGGGATGTAACATCCAGAATTTTAAAGAGAATATCCTGTATCTTTAAAAAAGAATACACGGTTGAGCCAGTGGAAAAATAACAGTGTTTACTTACAGACTGCAGTAAGCTTTTTTTAAAAAAAATATTGCACATTTTTAAAGGAACCTTTGTATCCTGCTTTTAGGAAAACCTATTTATTTAGAAAAAGAAGTTGCTTTTAGATTTCCAAGAGGGCTTAAAATCATTCTGGAACCCCCAGCTATAAGATATGTATATGTTTTGTCTCTCTCATTTATTTTTGTCCTTCTTTCCTTCGCATCCTAGTTTCTTCACCCGGGAACAGTGAGGATGCAGGGTTGTTAAAGATGAGCCCAGAAAAAGGTAAGCGAATCTGAGCGAAGAATGTCCAGAGAACTTTGGCAAGTCGTTCCACTATCCTAAGATTTCAGAAATACTGTTTGGAAAAAAAAGCAGCTTTATTCCTTGTATTCAGAAAGATGGCCTGGCTTTTGACAGACCATCTGGTTCTTTTTGCTGGCCTTAAGGAGCTGCGATGTCTTCGCTGTGGATGGAGACCGCAACGGTTTGGTTTTATCCGGCAGTTCCAGCTTCAGAAGAACTCAGCTAATTCATTTTTTTAAAAGGTAATTTCTTATCTCCCACGCAGGGAAGGGAAAGATTGATATCCAGGCCTATCTGAAGCAATGGCAAGATGAACTGCTTAAAAAAGAAGAGAGCATCAGAGATTTGCCCCGCATGGACCAGGTACTGCACTTCTGTTGTAGAACTTTACATAATTCCTTTTTGTTCAGTTTTGGGTGCAATTTGGCCCCCTGGAAAAGACAAGTGATGTCTGACGCGCCCTAGTAGGAGCTTCCCCACACCTCTTGGCCTCCAGGTATTTAAGGCTGCCACTCCCCTCATCTCTACCAACAAGACCAGTGTGGATGATGGGGGTGGTAGTTCAAGAACACCGTGGGGGTGGAGGCTGCTGCTTTTAAACCATGAAAGACTGCTTTTTCAAGAAGAACAGCATTGAAAGCATTGGACTAGATCCAGCTGGTAATTCCAGTTACAGTAGCCGTATTGAATAAATAGGACTTGCGTTCCACAATGGATGTGCTAGATTCACGAAAGCATTGGACTAGATCCAGCTGGTAATTGCAACTACAGTAGCCGTATTGAATAAATAGAACTTGCGTAAGTGTTGACCCAGCATTCCACAGTGGATGTGCTAGATTCACAGTATTTGGGACTAGCAGTTGGATTTAGACTGCTCTTTTTGCTTATATTAAGTGGCATTCATTCAGGAATACATGCAAAAAATGTTATGTGGAAACAGCTGCTTATTGCTTATATCCATTTTGCTTTCTCCACCCTGAACCTCAGTCCCAATTCATACAGTTTTCAAAAACTTTGTACAACTTGTTCCATGGGGATCCGGAGGAAGAGTTGCTGTACCGTGCCATCGCCACCGTCACGAGCCTCCTGCTCAGGATGGAGGAAGTTGGCCGGAAGCTTCAGAGTCCTGCTTCCCCGTCTGAAGGCCCGACACCTTCCGGGCCTCACTCTGGTGCAGAAGATGGCAGAAACGTCCGGGAGGCTCAGCTGTCCTTACAGGCCGAAGGCACGGGGGGCAGTCAGAGCAAAGCCAGCCATGAGTGGTCATTTGCTTTCGAGCAGATCCTGGCATCATTGCTCAATGAACCTGCGTTGGTGAGATTTTTCGAGAAACCGATAGATGTCAAAACCAAGTTAGAGCATGCAAAAGCTGCTCAGCTAAAAGCGAGAGCCCGGGTATAGCATAGGCAAGAGGGGTTTCCTCCCTGCTCCACATCATCCTCTTTGTTTTGTACAGGACATGCTCAGAACCGGGATGCGCCATTTGCATTCTGAATTTATGTGGCGAGTGGAGGAGTCAGGTCAGTTCCTGTGTATGCTGTGGAGTTTGTGTCTTTTGCAGAGTTAAGCGCGTCTAGCTTGAAGCACAGTTGCACCTAATTTTTGTATTTGACTACACTTGAAGACTTAAAACTCGTCAATCAGCACGTCCACGCTTGGAGGAAAATACTACGGCCAGTTTGTAGAAGGCACAGTTGAAGCACGATTCAGATTGTTGCGTCTCCTCACTACAGTTTCTGGTTTGTTTGTTCTCTTTGCTTACACTGAATGTAATTGTTGGGCACCTTCTCTTAAACGGAAACATATTTATATCGATTGATATAGGCTGGTTGAATTTCCAAAGAACCACTTCTTAAACTTTGAATGTAGGGTTGTGTAGTTCTGTGCGAGAGATGCCTTAGAGAGTCCATGGAGTATGGCTTTTAGAGAAAGTTATGAGAGCAGATCTACGTGGTGCTCCTGATCAGGATGATAACTTCTTGTAGCTCCCGGTGGTAACTTTGAGAGTTGAAACCCTCGTGATTTTCCCACTAGAGAGCTGGCAGAGGTAGGAGTAACTATTCTGGGATTGTAGTGCCCTGAATCCCCCAGCCATCGTAGCTGTGTTGACTTGGGGATTCTGGGAAACATAGTCCAAAGCTGGCATAAGTGCCCCTCTGAGGACCAAAGGCATCTTGGCTGAGATGTTCTAAGGACCAGAACGTTGTCATTTGGCTTGTTGTCTTCTAAGCAGTTGTTTTGCCCAAACCTCTTCCTGTTGCTTTGATTGGACCAAATTTGTGTTAAACCCACTGTTCTAGAAACCATCTTGCAGCGGCTTCCAGATCCCTGCTAAGAAAATGCGGGCAAGATTACAGGGTTATAAAGTCCCCTTCTTTGTGCAAACCATCCAGCGAAGCCTAGTGGAAAGGGAGAGCAGACTGACATTCTCACACACACAAAGAGAGAGAGAGGTTAGTGCAGACACCCTTGGGCTGAGCTGGAAAGATCTGCTCTAGGAATGAAGTGCAAGTGTTTGAATTAGGTTTCAGATAAACCTATGAAAGCCCATAAGGTCAGTCTTTGGAAATGCCTCTTAAGGCCACAGAGCAATTTTACTGTGTTTATACCCCATCCCAACTTTTTTCTGAAAACCAGAATTAACTGGATGTTAACTTTGGTTTTGGAGGGGGGGAAACACTCTCCACCAAGAACAGGTGGGGGCGGGGGGCTGAAAAGAGAGTGAAATGATGAGAGGATGAGAAGAGGCCTTATGTAGTGAAACAAAATCAGGGGGGGGGATCAGGAGTTGCTGGGGGGGAGCCTGGAGAGGCTGCCTTTTGCCCGCCCCCATTCTAAGCCATTTTGAGCACGGCTGGGTAGATCCGTTTCCTACCAGGGTCTCCTGGTTTGTCACAAGCTTTTGTGGTGCAAACCTAAGCCAGTTTTCAGTACTTTGGTGACTGCCGGGCCCCGCTCCTGGCCATCGGTGTTGCTGAATTATATATTGTAGTTCTTATAGGAAGCGTTTAAAAATTCACTTGGCTTGCCCCTCTCCCAAACCCAAACCATGTGAGACATGTTCCTACAGGATGGCTCCTGCTGAATGAAATTAATTGAGTACTTAATGCAGCAGCAAAGTGTCTTATGAAGCAAAAAAAATGTATATTTTTTAACACGGAACTCGTCTATGATGCATCTAAATAGGAAAAATTGAAGTGCTCAGGAAACTTGCTCATCACATCATCAGAATGGCTCATGGGTGCAAAAACACCTTGGCTTTTTCTACGCATGTTCACCAAGAAAGACCCACTTAACCAGTTACATAAAAGTTCTGTACTGGAGTCTCTTAGGCGCAATTTTTTTATATGCAGACTGACCAGCATATTTATACAGTACATTGCTAATTAGACTTCCAGTCTTGATTGTCATCAGTAGCAGAGCCACTTGGCTTCACTTTTTGTTTCTCTTAAGAATACCTAGGCAGGTTGTTTTTTAAAAAGACTTTGAAAATATGGATGTTTTGTGCAGAAACTATTTGCCTAGCAAAATGCCCAGTGATATTTGCAAGACAAGCAGTTGCTTTTCTGAATGGAAAAGGGTGTTTGCTTCCCTTCATCAGAAACCACCCAAGGAAAAATTAGCTTTCTAAGTATGAAAGGGAAAAAAATGACCCTTACTGCCTGAGATGGAGGAAGAAGCAAAATCCATCTGTCCTTTGACAAACGAATCCGTATGCTATGCAAAGTTTAATCTGAACTCGGTGGCTGGTTCTGTGACTGTATTGCAAAGCTGTTTTCCTCTTCATACTGCAAATGCTTTTGCTGGAAGGACTGACCAGGCTAAATTCAGTCTATGCAAATAAACCTAAGTTGCTGGTTTCCATCTGCCTTTTTTTCTATGGAGAAGCGAGCATTTAAATTGCAGCCCACACACTGTGCCACTTGCTCTGTACACCTGAAGCTGAGAAATCAATGTATTTGTTATTGTGATGCTCCGTGTTTTTATCCTTCTCATTGCTCTGATCCTCACGGATGAGTCAGGTTTCCCCAGTCTTCAAGGGCGAGGAGAGAAAGAGAGACTGCCTTAATGTCCTTCTGGAGTTTTTCCTTCCCAGTTCATGAGGGGTTAAACCATGTGCGCTGAGACCAAGACCTGCATCGTTTAAAAAGTTGAATTGCATTTGTTGCCCAGTGGTACATATTCAAGTAGATTCCACTGATTCTTTATTACTTTATTACTTCCCTCAAAATGTGGTTGCTTTTGTTTTGTCTCTTTTTAAGTCAAAGTGTTCCAGGAAGTCACAGAGGAAGCCCAATCCAGGAATTACAGCACATTCTTTCCCACTCATTGTAATTTCAAGAAGCATTCAGGCAGGCTTCCCACTCTGCCATTCATGCTGCTTCTGAACAAGGTAGTGGGCTAGGCTCGCTCTTGGGTATGAAGCCTAGCAGGAAGATCTTCCCCAGCTTTTCTTCCTAATACACAATTTTTCTGCTTGCAAGGAACATTATCTTTTCAAACGATGGGACAGCATTTTAAAAAGTCCTAACAAAATCCCACCCCTTGCTTTCTGAAAGATGTAGAGCCTCTTCGGCTGCTGTATCCTTTTGTATTCCATACTCAGGCTTGGAAAAGAGTTGGTTTTGGGATTTGTTTGTTTGATAGGCACTGGCCCCACTCTTCGAAAGAAAAACAATTTTTAATTGTGCATTGAACGGGATTGTCTCCCCTACTCACCCACCATCACTCCCATCTAAAGAGCAATCTATTAAAACAGATAATGGGTTGCTGCCTGCCACACCAGGCTTGATAGCATAAGAGAAGGATGTCGGCAGCAAATCATTTCTTATAAAAAGCTCCTCTCCTGTTTCCTTTTGTAAACGTGTTCTTGAGATGGAATGCTCCTAAAATCGTTGGCATTCGTTGTAAGGAGAGGTTGTTGCCTGTTTTTGTGTGGCTTGACTGGTGGGGTGGCAAACAACACGGTCGCTTTTTGGTGCCTTGCTGCCTCCTCTCTGCCTCCCCAGTGCTTTGGGCACTTGCTGCAATCAGAATAATAGTCTGAGTAAGGCCACAGCTCCGTTGCTGTAGTTACTACATCATCTCCCTGCACCCGGCCCCCGCTGCGGATGCTTTTGCAGCTTCGCACAGAATGCTTGTAGCCAGTGGGCAGAGAAGCAGAGCGGGTCAGCTTTCGATCCTCCGTAATGACGAAGTAGTAAAGAATAAGGTCATTTGGTACGTAAATTAGTGTGGGATGAAATACAGAGGATCGAGGTCATCAGTACTCACTGCTTGAAGCAGATTGCTGGGCCTGTAACAGAGAAACGGGCAAATCCTTGTAACATTTGGGAAATGGGGAGGGGGGAAAATAACACATCAGGAAATCACTGGATATAAATGCATGAGTCTCTCTTGATTAGTAGGAGCATCTTTCTCCTGCAATTGTCCAAAAGATAAAGGTTGCCTGTGGGGAGGGGAGGAGGTGGACATGGAGAATTTTAATGAGCCTGGATTACCTGGGTGCAGGCGGTGATCCCAGTGATTCTGCCTCGGGTTATTTGATCAAAAATGAATGTATACTAATGACTCCAGCAGTAGTTCATTACTGTCACATATAGCCATGTGAATGCTTCATAAATTGGATTTTACTTAGGGAAAGCAAGAAAAGCATTTGGGGAAAACAGCTGAAAAAAATTCTTCTCTGAAATGTGCCATCTCATTGTCTTATCAACAAATAAATCATAAACAGCTTCTTAAAAGAAGACAGTTACCTTATAAGCCAATTATTATGTATCTACTTGTTTCATCTTTCATAAAATTTTATACGTAAGATCATTATAGTATACAGTATTTTACAGAGGAATTGGGATGTTTTCTGGGTCTTGCTACTCAGGAAGCAAAATACATTTTAAGTGCTGGTCCTGTCTGTCTTTTGGTAATACTATTCTACATGAACCTGCATCACATTATCTTTTAATTGGAGGTGATCAAGAAGGAGAGAAGTCTCACCTTCGGTGTCCCTGTAGCAGAACAGGCAAAGGCAGTGCTTGATGGCATGGGGACGTGAGAAGATTTTTGGCTGGTTGATAACAGACTGGGGTCAGGAACTCTTCAGGATCTGGACAAGCAGTTGCTAAAACTGTTGTTGAACTGCAACACCCATCAGCCTTAGTCAATAGGGCTGATTGTGAGGGCCTATGGGAGTTGTAGTCCAACGACACCTGGAAGAGTTCATGTTGCCCACTTCTCTTTGGGGCATGTGTGTTTCCTTGAGGGCAGCCACCAGAAAAAAACAAGGAACTTGGTCACCTTTTTAGAAAGGGAGAAGGAAAGAAAAGCTACTCATGGTCATGTAGACGCATCATCCTACCCAACCAAGATGGGCAAGAGCAGATACTAGGTCAGCTGGAGCTATGCGAAAACCAGATTCTTCCCAGTCTAGAGAGGTGTAGGAAATTTCTTAGAGAGCCTTTCACTCTGGCCCACTTTATGCCAGCATCATCCCTGTATCCTTGATACAGGAGGAGATGTATTTCTGGCCCAGTTCAGCTCCTTCCTTGCCCTGTCCTTTTTTCCGGCTCTTCTGCCAGCCACTCTTCACCAGCAGAATGATTCTGTTGGCAGATTTCTGAGATCAGTGGGCAGACAAGGATTCTGCAGGCAGAAGACCCGGAGTTAGACTTCCATTGCAAACTGGCAGCTTTTCAGCGGGATCCACCATTAATGTCTCGCAGAATGAACGTTGCAGGGATCTGCCTGGAACCCACCCGATGGAGATTTTTTTTAAAAAAAGATCATTTGCACAAACTGGCAGCTTTTCAGCGGGATCCACCACTGATGTCTCACAGAATGAACGTTGCAGGGATCTGCCCGGAACCCACCTGATCGAGATTTTTTTTTTTAAAGATCATTTGCACTAAAACCAGACCCAGGGTAAACAACTTTAAACCATTGCATGAACCTGAGTTTTTGTTATATAAAAAAACAGTCATTCCATAAGAGTACTGAAAAGTACAATTTATTTTACTTCTCTTTCAAAATACTATGTACAAATCTTTAAAGCACACGGGGGCACAATTGTTCTTGCTCAGTCAACCTCCACAACGGATGTGAGTGTTGCTAGGTAAGATTTTTTACCCCATAAGAAAGACACTTTCTCATCCCCCCTCCCATTTTACAAAATACTTTATGAATAAGAACATTTATAAATTTATCTCTATTTGACATCATATAAAATAAACTTAGTATTTAGCTCTAAGCCTTTATTATTTTTCTCATCTGTCAATTCTTTTCCCTTCCACATATCTAATACAGTATGTCACAATATATACAGATTAGGTTAGACTCCATATCCATCAAATCAGTTGGGCTAGATCAACCAGCCTTTAGCTTATGTATGTACAAATTCATTAAAAGTACGAGACTTTTTCTTAAGGTGCCTGTGTTTTCTGAAACCTGGAACTGTAGTCGACAGTTTTTGTCTTTAATATATTTATGACAATGCCTCCCACTCACTTACAAGACTTCACAAAGTCTTAATATATTTATGACAATGCCTCCCACTCACATTTAATCATGCCTTACAAGTCTTCACAAAGTCTCTGAGCCACAGACAGAGTAAAAGGGTCATGGCGCCACCTCCTCCAACATAGACCTTGCTACCAGCAGAAATGTCCAGGTGAAGTAGCGCTATGCCATTCCATATATACTTTGCCTCTAAATACTGAACAAAACTCACACAGCGGTAAACCTAGCTCACCTGAATAGAAAAACTTTTGTTCCCTTTAGGAGAAAGGGAATGAAAATATATATATATTGTTTTTCGGCAGTTGCTAAGTCTCAAAATCCCAGTGCTAAGATCTCCAGATATTTTACTGCCCGAGGCAAAGTATTAGATAATGCCCTTACAACCCTCCATTCCATGTACAGAAGCCTGCTGGATTTGCAGTTGAATTTTGTTTTGAAATCTCCTAACAGAATAAAGTCCTCCAGCAGCACTGAGGGCCACGGGCTAGTTTGGAGGTGTCAAGACTCGTGGGACAAGGCTGTGCAAGTGCACACAGGTCTCTCGTCTCAAGGAGGGTCACAACCACCAGATGGAGTAGTGTGTACGGACACCTAGGACCTCCCACCTTGTTCTCCCTAATGGCAGGGCCGGCCTGCCCTGACCCCATGCTTTGCTAACAGTGGGGAGGTGCTGGAGTCAGAAATGTCTGCAAACCTGAGGGGAGGATGCTGGATCTTTGTCCTTACCAGGATAACAAAGAGAGAGAAAGCAAAGTTCATAATGAGAGAGAATATGTTTTTTGGTATATAGTTTCATTCATCCTTGAACTTACAGGGCAAGATTGAAACAGCACCAGGCAATCGCCTCGTGGTGTTAGATATACTGTACATGAGAATTTGTGAAGGAAACAGTTCCTTACTAATAAAGTGCTTGGTTCGAGGAAGGCCTATACATATATAATCTCTCTCTCTCTCTCTCTCTCTGTGTGTGTGTGTGTGTGTGTGTGAATGAGAGAGAGAGAGAGAGAGAGAGAGAGAGAGAGAGAGAAACTTCTGGTTTTTAAAGGGTTTTTCTTAAACTATTTTCACTAGAAGTGTGCAGGTTTGTGTTTTGGACTCTCAATATAGAATGTATATTGGGTTAACATATGGATGCATGCCTCGCCTTGTTAAAATAAAAAGCAACCAAAATGCTCTTATTCGTATCGCGAGGTCCGACTTTGGACAGTCCATGCATGCACGGAGAGTTTATTCTCCTCTGGCCTGCCCCATTCAAAGTGCTTGAGTGGAGGAAGGTGCAGAATCCACAACACCTTTCCGAAGAGAAGAGAGGTTGAAGCCATTGCTTCCAGTGGCTGCCAGTGGTGCAGGGATCTGGGTGCGTTCCCCCCTCCCCATTTCCCCATCTTCGTATTTTCCCCCAATACTCAGAATTGGACACATTTGGTTGGCACGGAGGTGCTTTAAAGTGCATGAAAGGGTAACGGGGGCGACCGTAGCGGAGAGGCCGAAGAGGCCAAAGCCTTCCATTCTCAACTTTCTCCAGGTCAGTGCATTAGGTTTAAAAGGACGACGGGCACGCAGGTGGGAGGGCAGGTTTCTCCCACTGAGAGCGGAAAGGTAATGCCATGCTCTCTACTATTCCTCTAGAGACATCAGTGGTCATGCTTTCTAGTTTTGGGTGGCGGCACGTGGAGGTCCAAGCAATTGTTCAACTGAGACACAGTGGTTTGTAGGTCGGCTAAGTGTTCTTGGACAACTCCCGGCATATCCTAGGAACCCCGGCCAGCACAGCTGGTGGTGAAGGCTTCTGGGAATTGCAGTCCAAGATCACTGGGGTTACCTAAGGGCGAATGTATTCTGATGCCACAGATACTCATTTTCTAGGCCCTGCATCTGATACGGGAGTGAGGGAGAAAATACTCCACGTAGCCTCGCAGACTTGGCCCTTGATGGAGCAGGCGTCTTTTAGAACCTGCATCCCATATTGTGGCCTTTTGTAAATACTTTGGAGAGCAGGGTTTGCCTCTTGAGTAGCTTGCTTTTTACAAATCCACAAACTGTTAGCAAAGGTTAGGCTTTCTGTTTCTTGGAACACATCCTGCTGGGTTCTGCCCTGTCTCTTCTGCCAGCGTAGCAATGTTTCTCCTATTTCTTATCCTTTGATTGCACTCTGTCCAACAGGCAAGGCTCTGCAAGTAAGAAGGATGCTTGCCAGCTGACACACAAGGCGCCAGGCAAGCCTTCAAAGTGAGGAAGAATCCTTGAATTCTTTGTTTTGAAAAGTACTTAAAAATAGCATAAAAGGACAGAAGAGTGAGAGTTTTAAAAGAATGCAGAGTTTTGCTGCAAAAGCTGATTGATCATCACTTTCTGGTTGATCTCCCTCCTTAGCAACCTCGAAAATTTCCTGAATGATAAATCCTCAAACTTTCTTACACAAGGAAACTTGTTTGGCGAACTTGTTGTATCTGCTCCCATTTTCCTGGCCTTCTCCCACTTAAAGCCTTGCAATTAATCCCTCCCACCTCTTTGTTATAACAGAAGCATTTGTAGTCCCTTTACAAGTCACTCATGTTCACTATGTTTGCTTCTCATAACAAGCAACAGAGTGGTTTGCTAAACTTCAGCTTCTTTTAATGTGCAAACCTTCCCCTTGCTCTGCTCATACGATATGGGTGGTTAACAAGCTACAAACCACAAACAAACTATGGTTTGTTACTGCCTTACCAACTCCGCTTTATATAAACGGTATCTTGTTGTGACCTCCAAACCTACAACCATGGCTTGTCCCGGCTGCTTTCCCCAGGTACTTTCCCTGAAACAAGACAAAAGGAGTAGGAGAGAAACAAACCACAAAAGGGAAAGAAAAAGCCACAGTTCATTGGTCCATAATCTGAGTTGCAATCTGTGGCATAAACAATGAGCCACAGTACGTATGAGTCATAAGGTGGGGGAAACATCCATGGCTTAATCATCCTTTCCATGCTCTAAACAGCAAATCTGAGCCTTTGTCACAGATTCTCCACTCCTGGCCTTCCTGACAAGCCACAGGCCTTGACACTGGAGGTGGTGGGGGGGCGAGGGGGGTAACTGTGTGTTTCAGTGCAGGAAGGGGCTTAGTGCAGCCAAGTATCTCTCCATCCTTGCTACAAATTTGTACTCTAAATTTTTTTCTAATTCTTTTAAAGCTGCGGTCTCAACCCAGGCATGAGTTCTGCTGAAGCCCTGCCAAGGAGTAAGTGGAGACGTTGGGTCCTGGTTTATCTGTTCCTCCTTTCCTCCTCATTCTCCCATTCATGGGAGCGGGCCCATGAAACATTGGGTTACATAAGCTTTACTTAACTCGCTGTGGCTAATCATGGCATGGGGTCATCTCTCAGTCATATGTCTGGTCATGCACCCAATGGCACAATGGGGCCACCCCCCTGGCATCTCCGCAATTCCTGCCGCGGCGTTACTTTTCCTCCCGCAGACAACAGAAAGAGAGTGAAGGACGGATCAGTTCTCTTCATATCCCATCCCTCACTCTTTTCTCAATGCAAAGCCCTGGGGTCTTGCCCTGGAAACAGTACAGTGCAGTAGTCTTTCCCTTCCCCTCTTAAAGAAGAGTTTGGAGGAGTTTAAAAGACCGCTAAACTTTCCTGAACTCTGTCACTACGGACGGGTGACTTACGTACAACAGGACCAAATTCACCTGAGCTTTTTCTCGAAGACCAGGGTTGCAGGGATTTTGTTAAAGACAGCCACACACACACACACACATATATATACATCCAAGTGCATCAGTTGTTAGCAGGTTACAATACTGGTAAGGAAGGGGAGGGAACAATACACAGTGATCGAGCATCAGCCTGAGAATCTTCTGCACACAGATATACCTAAGAATCCCTGCTCATTTTCACTAAAGCCTTTGGCCCTGATAATTCAAACTGTATGCAAGCTGGGCTGGCAACCCACCCGCGTCTTGAAAGACCTAACCTTTTCCATAATAGCCAGCAATGAATAAAGTACTCTTTTAAAATACAAAAAATACAAAACAAACAAAAAACAGAAAGCAGGCCTTCTAAACACAACCTCTTCCTTCCTTCCTTTCCATTAAAGAAGAATTGGTGAGCATTGCCTTCAGAGCCTAGGATTTTTTTTAAAAAAAGTGCAAGTCCAGCCCAGTGACAATTAAGAATGAAACAAAAATGCCCCTTACAATTATAAGTATTCATTTTCCTTTGGAAACACACAGAACAGTAGGGGACGCTTTGGTATACACACCCACTGAGGAATAAAACTTTTTTTTTTGTAAAAAAAAGTGTTTATATATACATACATATATTTGTGTGTGTGTATATATATGTATATATATTTTTATATACACACTTAAAGTGACAATTTACAAAAATACAATTTATTGCTAACGCTACTGCCTTGCAACATTGCAGGTGTACTCATTAAGTAGAAACCCCCACTTTGCTAAACAGCAAAACCAGAAAGTTTGCTTTGCCTTTGAGTGTCAAGAGACCTCCTCATAGAAAGTTTCATTAGACACAAAAGGGAGAGGCTTCTGCACCTCAGTTATATATCTATATATCTGTATGTGGCTAAATGGGAGTAGAAATAGTTTAAATCTGTGCTTTATAACAAAAATAGGAGAATCCTTTGTACACACCATTATTCTAAATGTAAAAGGAGCTGGTGCAAAAAAAAAAGAGAGAGATTTAGGCAAGATTGGTGTCATAAACAGTAGCAGCATTATCCAATTATCTCAGGGAAAAGGGGAGAGAAGGAATGGACCCTCCTACAGGAATCATGGGAGAGATGGGGCGGGGGATGTGTTACATAATCCGCACGTGAACCATCGTAGCAAAATAAAATCTATATACATAACAAACAGAGAATAGAAAAATGAAGGTGGTAACCTGCTGATGGTTCTTCTTTAGTCTGTGTTCAGAGTGTTTCACAGTGAATTTTCAACAAAAGATTTTTAAAAATGGCCAGTCAGGAAAAGACACGGCGACCCCTCCTTGTGTTCTTATGCAGTTTCTGTTCCAAAACTCATCAGCATGTAAACTTAAGTATTTTTAAAAAAGGGAAACCCCTGTGAGCTTGGAATCCATCGACCATATTAAATATATGGCTTTACAGCACGCAAAAGCGACTGTGGGTGGGACTGCTTTCCTGCAAACCATCCTTCCACCTCTTGGGCAAATTGAAGGTTGTTTTTTTTCTTCCAGTTGTCAGGGAGCGGTGGAACCTCGGCTTCCCTTGAGCCCCTTCTGGCAGGGGAGGGCTACCCTAAGCAACCTTCCATCCTTCTGATCCTCCACCACTAGAGACAGGATGTAGACGCGACCTTTTTTTGCTGCGCGCTGATCCTGTTGTCCCGGAGGCCAGGTCTGGCTGTTGATCCCGTATTGCTCAGGCACTGTTCCTGGGCGGGTTTCTCTTCTGAGCGCAAGAGCCCTCAAAGGCCGCTGGCCTGTGCCCCAAACAGGGTCTTCTGTGGCTTTGCCCCATTTCCCTCGAGGGCCAGATTCACCGCTCTTGGGCATCACAGGAGGGACAGGCTCGACTCTAGCTCTGCCCACAGTGCTCTCTCTCGCTTCTGCTCAAGCACAGCCGTTGTGTGTCCAAGGTTGTTGTGTGTTTTTTTCCCCATCACCATCTCTCCAGCCTTTGGGCCTCAAGGCAGTTGCATCTCATGCATGTCCTGTAAACCACAAGGCTGGCTGGGCAAGTGGTGGTTCTGCAGCTGTTGCGGGTGATGGAAATAGCCCAGGGCGGCGTTCTGCTGCGGGAGGTGAGCCTGCTGGAAGAGACGTTGGTTCTGGCCTTGATCAGGTGCACTGTGCATCTGCAGGGAACACATGGATCTACTTCAGAGTCAGGTGTAAAACAGCCTCTGCCTTGCACATTTATCCCAGCCAGGTAAGGAGTTCCTTCAATCTATGTTTTTCATGTATTTGTGCTTGGACATGACAACTGAACTAAGAAAGAGAGATTCATGGAAAAACTATATGCATTACCCTGTTTCCCTGAAAATAAGACCTAACATGAAAATAAGCCCTAGTATGATTTTTCAGGATGCTCGTAAGATACAGTAAGCCCTACCTAAAACATAAACCCTAGTTAAGTGAAACCCTGCCCTCCACCCTTGTGCAGCAACCAGAAGAAGATGACATGGCTGTATTTGAATAAATGTAGATTGTTGTACATGAAAAAAAATTAAAACATCCCCTGAAAATAAGCCTCAATGTGTTTTTGGAGCAAAAATTAATATAAGACTCTGTCTTATTTTTGGGGAAACACAATATGTTTAGGAATTGCTACAGCTTCAAAGCTAATGTGGAACTTCATCCATTCCTTCAATACAGTGGGGTCTTGACTTAAGAACGGCTTGAGTTAAGAACATTTTGACTTAAGAACCGCTCTCATAGGAAAATATTGACTTGACTTAAGTACTTAGATTTGAGTTAAGAACTGAAAAAAACACGTGGGAGGCAGGGAAAGTGCAAAATGTGAACTTTCAGTTCACTGTTGGCCAGTGAAAAGGGTGCCTGTCTGCTTCCTCACTCCTCCCAGCGTTTAGAGAGTGGATTGGGAGACAGTCTTCAGACTGCCTGGTACTGTCCTGCCTGGACTGTATTTTCCCTGCCTTCCCTGAACCTTTCTTGACCTAAGGAAAAAAGAAGCAAAATATCCCCCTCTAGTGGTCGAAGGCGGAATAGCAGCTTCCCATTAGTTTCTATGGACGGAAAGAGCCGATACGGATCAAATGGTTTTCAATGCATTCCTATGGGAAATGCAGATTTGACTTGAGAAATTTTTGACTTGAGAACCGCCTTCCAATACGGATTAAGTTCTCAAGTCAAGACCCCACTGTACTGCTAACTGGAGAACTTCATGTTGTTACAGTGTTTCTAGAATTTAGAATTACTAAACATAATGCATTCCCCTTTGTGAAAAGAGTAGTACACAGACAACCTCTCTGGGCAAAGGCACCCAAACAGGGATTTAAGCTGGTGGAACTGCTGAGAGGTTTCCTGATTTCTGAGAACGTATTTAATCTCATGTGGAAAGAAAACAGCCACTTCCGTGACCTTCAACAAACAAATAAGGCAGCTTCTGGGGGAGGGGGGGTGTCCCAGGGCACACACACCCCCAGAAGAAGGAACTGGTAAACCACTTCTGTGTACTCTACCTACAAAACCCTAGAAAGGCTTCCCATAAGTTGGAATCGACAGTAGCTAAGTACTATAATAATGAGAGGCTGAATCTAACAGATCAGGCAGAGGGCTCTGAATGGCTGTCCAGGCATCACTAGCTAAAACCTTATGGATGTACACTTCTGCTGAGGAAGTTAATCTTTGGCACTGGTAAATTGTAATTTAAATTAGTGGGAAGCTTCCTATCCTTGCTCCCTTTCACCTTCCGAGGCTCCCTAGGACTCCGTTTTGCTTCTAGGGAAGCCTTTGGGAGCCTCAAGGTAGGGCGGGAGAGCCTTTATTACCCCCAAATCACCACTGGGTCACTGCTGGCAGCATTTCTTTTTACTATTAAAGGCTTCCCCGCCATCACCATTCAGAGGCTTTCAAAGGCTTCCCCAGGGCAAAAGAGAAAGACGGGAAGTTTACCGTTAATTTAAATTAAATTTTACCAGCACTGGATAAGGATGTCATTGGCTTCTGGGGATATAAATGCAAGAGGTGGCGACAGATGCCTTATTTTCAACAGCTCTATGATAAGTAGGGTAGAAACATGACCCTTTCTACAGTAGGAACAGCTGCAGCTATAGAATTTGGCCAGCACAGATGGTTAAGAACTTTGCTCTGTTTGCTTTCTTTAAGAACTTTCCAAAACTGGAAAAGTCTGCCATAAATTTCACAGAAAATATAAATAAACTGAGGGTTGTTCTTTTGCTTTTTAAAATTGAATGTAGGAGAAAACAAAGTTGAGCCATTTCTCCTTCATCTTCAGCTCAACCCTTCCCCTCCATCCCTATATTTTAAGATAGAGTCGGCAGGTTGTAGTCCTGAAGGGAGTTTTTTAAAGTGTAGATCAGTGGCTCCCAACCTTCGGTCACCCAGATGTTTCTGGACTCCAGCTCCCAGAAACCCTGGCTGGCGGTGAAGGCTTCTGGGAGTTGCAGTCCAAGAACATCGGGGTTACCCAAGGTTGGGAACTACTGGTCAAACATCTGGTGGAGCAAACAATCTTCCCCTCCCCATTTATGCTCCTCTGGAAGCAGCTCTCCAACACGTCAGCCGCGCTCCTTCCCAGCTCTATCCGACGATGGCAGAGATGGAATCCACGGAAGTCCAGCAACTCCCCTCCCGACAATGAAATCTTCCTCAGCTGTCAGTCAGTGGCTGAAATCTCCATGAGTGGATGGCTAGCAGAAGGACTGTTTAAGAGCTTGGGAGCATCCCACAGGATAGCCCTCTCGCCCACCCCTGCCAAAATAGCACCCAAGGATACTGGGACCAAAAGAAAGGGTTCTTCCCTACAGAGGCTGAAAATCCGTGCAGGATCACATGAGAAAATATGGGCCTCCAGACAGTCTGAAAAACAATGACGAGCCATGCATGGTCTCTGCCCTCCTCTGAGCTCCCAGGCCTATTGTAGAAACAAACCTCCGTGTTATTACCTGAAGATAGAGATGATGCTGTTGAACCTGCTGTGGCTGCCACTGCTGCAGGGTGCTGGGAGGGTGGGTTTGTGGTGCAGCTAGGTTGGTGTGTGGGATCATCACTGAAGGGCTGAATACGGGTGACGGGGTTGGGGCACGGATCGCGGTGCATGTGATCGGTTGCATCTGTATTGCAGGAGGCAGACCCTGCTGGTCTTGAGCAAACCTACTAGACAAAAAAAATAATAGTAATAACTATGAGGCGGTATATAAGCAGCATGCTTTGCTTTGCTTTAAGGAACAAAAGCCTGGGCGTTACAACAAGTTTTCTATTCCTGTAAGGTGGTTTTAAAAAGTGGTAAGAAGGACCCTCTTTGGGCATAAGACAAGGCCAGAGATTTCATCTCCATCTTCCCATTGCATAAGGATATCATTTAGGCATTGTGAAATTGAAAAAACCAGTATATAAATACTTCGAAATATGGTGCACAAGAGCCATCACACACGATAGGAAAAATTCATCACCTATGCAGGAGTCATAAGGAGTCATGCTGCACAACTGGCTACAGCTCATCAATTCTGAGCAACGTAAGTGTCCTCTATGCATGTGTGAACTGGACTCAACTCTCACCTTTACTTAGCAACACAAAGATCCCGGACTGGGGGAACTTTGATGCCTTGCTATGAAGGTAAGCTTGAAAGCCTGCGGGCAAAACCTGTTAAATTCTCAGAAGCAAACCTGTAAGGTTTTTAAAAGGCAGGGAGCAACACTTCAGCACCCTTGCCCTTCCTAACTGCTAACCTCAATAAGCAACAGCAGAAGTATAAAATAAAATACACGAAATATGAAATTATACCTGGGCTATGCAGATAGCATAAATTATGCATGCGTATTGGCAAACCACATAGAAAGCCCAGGTGCAAAATCTACATTTTATTCAGTGCGATCAACACACATGATTGCAATCATTTCAAGTATAACAGGAAAAAGCAGTATCACTCTTGATATCTAAATATGCAACATTAATTCCAGACTTTATTTCTAGATCCCAAAGGGGGTTGGAAGCCAAAAATGGGTCACGCTCAGATCTAAATGGGTCAGGAACAGGACGGCAGCTCCATGGCAGACTATAACTCCCAGAATCACTAACAATTCTAATCATTAGAACTCAAAAATGGAAAAGCTCTGCTTTAAAAGGAAAAAATGACACGCAAAAGAGGAGACTGCTGCTTTAAAATATTTTGGTGAGCTTGAAAAAACTAATTAACTTGGAACCTGGTCATGCTAATTAGGGAATTCTGGGAATTCTAGTCCAAAGAATAACCAAGAAGGTTCTTCTCTTTTGGTGAGTGGACCTCAATTAAGCTCCTGGCAGGAAAATCCAAACAACTAGCAGGCTAATAACAGGGTAGGTGAGAAAGGTTTACTTGGTTGTCTGCCAGGAGCAACGGTTATTGCTTGTTTCTGGAGGATGGACGGGTCCCTGCCCTACTGGACATAAAGGGCTCAACTAACAACCTCCTTCTGGGAAAACGGAAAGCCCCCATCATGCAGTAAAAGGCGGAAGGGATGACATGTCATGGAAGTAGCACTTTCAGAGGGAGATTCTCCTTAGGACACAGCAGGGTGAAGCCCACCATCTTCCAATGCTGCCGTTGTCCGCCTTGTGGCATAGCTGGGGAAGTAAGAGAACTGCCTGCTGAGTGCAAAGGGACATTTCTGTATCACCCCCCTGGTCCCAGGCCTGAGTGGACATGGCACGATTTGTGGTTCTCGCCTTTTGATGTAATGGGCTTTTAAGTCGGAACCAACTTATAGTGACTCTAATAGGGATTTCAAGATAAGTGAGATGTTTAAGGAATGTTTTTACCATTTTCACTCCTCTGTGTTTCTATGGCTGAGTGGGGATCCAACCCCACCCCCTGAGTCCTAGTCCATCACTCTGTCCACTACACCGCACTGGGTATCGTCTTTTGATGTCCATCCCTGTTAAATTTTAGCTCCCCAGATCGATGCCTGGCTGGGTTTTCTGAAAGCCACTGAACAATTGCAGGTTTACCGTCGTGGTTCTCAACTGACTGTGCAGGTAGCATGGGTGGGATACAAAATGTAACGTAGGAAGAACACCCTTGATTTTGCGTGACAAAATAATGCGCTTATGCAAAGAGTGGGGTCTTGACTTGAGAACTTAATCTGTATTGGAAGGCGGTTCTCAAGTCAAAAAGTTCTCAGGTCAAATCTGCATTTCCCATAGGAATGCATTGAAAACCATTTGATCCGTATCTGCTCTTTTCTGTCCATAGAAACTAATGGGAAGCTGCTATTCCGCCTTCGACCACTAGAGGGGGATATTTTGTTTCTGACTTCACGTTATCCAATAGAACATTACAGGACCTGCAAGAAGAGAGCCCCACCATGTTAGACACAATGCGTCGAAGATATTTCAAGCATCTGAACCAAAATAGTACACTTGAGTTAAAGTAAGTCCACTGATGTTGCTAAGTGCGTCCATCACTCTGTCCACTACACCGCACTGGGTATCGTCTTTTGATGTCCATCCCTGTTAAATTTTAGCTCCCCAGATCGATGCCTGGCTGGGTTTTCTGGAAGCCACTGAACAACTGCAGATTTACCGTCGTGGTTCTCAACTGAGTGTGCAAGTAGCATGGGTGGGATACGAAATGTAACATAGGAAGAACACCGTTGATTTTGCGTGACAAAATAATGCCCTTGTGCAAAGAGTTAATTTCCATCATTTCCGTTCGTAAGTCAAGACCCCACTGTAATTTCCATCATTCTGTGAAACAACTCTGGAGGGGGAAAAAGATTATTAGCTCGTCTCAGCATCCGTACCTTAAAGTCCGATCTTGGCTATAATCTGACAGCTGCTGCCTGTCGCCCATTTCAGCCGCCATCGGAGTAGACACAGTGATTGGGTGGGTTTGGGGGAACACCATTGGATTGTTGTACAAGGGCATGGAGATGCTCATCTGCAGGGGGAGGCAGGCCTGCTGCGCCAGGTTTCCTCTCATTACATGCTCAGGGGGAGGCAGGCCTGCTGCGCCAGGTTCCCTCTCATTACATGCTTTTGTTGCTGCTGCTGCTGCTGTTGTTGTTGCTGCTGCTGCGTTGCTGCTGTTGTTGCTGCTGCTGCTGCTGCGTCGGCGGCGGCTGTGGCTGCACCTGATGTATAAAATGCATAATCCTTGGTTATCACAGGGACACAATTATTCTTTATTTAGTATCCATGTATGTATAAACTGCCCTTCTACAAGGAAGCTCAATTTTATTTTAAAAGTACACAGTAGCAGCTATAATCTACTCTGGCTGAAACCTAACATCAGCTCATAAGACCCACCTGATGGTCTGCTTAGCTTTCCTTCTCTGTTATATGTTTAGGGCATAACAATGTTCAAATTAAGGGAAAGAAAGGTTCCAGCTAACCATTCGGAACAGCATTTTGACCGTTAAGCGGTGTTTACCAATGGAAGCTAGTGTTTTTTTCCAGTAGCAATGTATGGAAGTGAGAGCTGGATCATAAAGAAAGCAGGCTGCGAAGCTTACTGCAAGAACAAACCTATCCATTTTGAAGGAAATCAACCCTGAGTGCTCACTGGAAGGACAGACCCTGAAGCTGAGGCTGCAATACTTTGGCTATCTCATGAGAAGAGAAGACTCCCTGGAAAAGACCCTGATGTTGGGAAAGTGCGAAGGCAAGAGGAGAAGGGGACAACAGAGGATAAGATGGCTGGACAGTGTTATCGAAGCTACCAAGATGAATTTGCCCAAACTCCAGGAGGCAGTGGATGACAGGAGGGCCTGGTGTGCTCTGGTCCATGGGACCACAAAGAGTCGGACACGACTTAACAACTAAACGAAAACAACCAATGGAATGAGCTGCCTTGGAGGGTGATGGATTCCTTCCTTGGAGGTCTTTAAACAGAGGTTAGAGGGCCAACTCTCAGCCATGCTTTAACTGTTGGGCTCTGGGGTCCCATCCGGCTCTTCACTTTTCTGATCTGGGGACCTCATGCAGATGACGATCGCTTAACAATCAGCTCTCATACATCTCGTCACGCATAGAGTATATGTGCTTCAGTAGTGACTGGATAGAGCTACCTTGTTCTTCTTTAGTTATTCTTCTTTTATCATTACTCTCTCTTTTCAGCTGGATTTAGTATTATCTATATTCTGGAAGCTGATGCCCTCTGAGAAAATAATAAAAGAGTGTAGCACTGCATTAAAAAACTGATCGCTACCTGGGATGAGGTAACACAGGGCTCCCTGAGGAATTGTTGAGATGAGGCCAAGTGTGAGCCACAGAACGGCTTTGACCCCATGAGGCTCTGTTGCTGGGACTTCTTTGAAGTGGTGGGTCTGCTCCCTGCCACTGCTGCTGGTTGCTGGGAAGGCCTCAGAGGGGTTTGATGCTGTACGCTGTTGAAGACCATGGGCGCAGGCTGTTGCATGAACATCTGTTGGGGGAAAAAGGAAGGAAGGGTGCAGAAGGCAACAGAGAGATTAACTCAGGATGGGAAAGAATTCCAGTGGAGGTCCTCATCCAAACTACCCCTGTTGCACTTGCTGATGACACCTTGTCTCAGAAATTCATTCAGACACTTGCAGTGGTTGCAAATACGTTCCGTACATGTGACATTATGAAGACATCGCTAAAGTATGAGCAGCTAAAGACAAGTACCATTTGAAAGACATGCACAATTAGAAAATGTGCTCAAAAATGTATATATTGGGGAAAATGATTCTGTTCACTATGGAAAATACATACAGAAAATACGTACAACTTTTCATAGGAAAAGAAACAACATTTTCAAAAATTCACCTCCAAGACGAATATAGGATGGGGCAGAAAAGAAACTGAGATTTAAATAAACGAGGTTGAGAATTCTTCATATCGTAGTGTTTTATTGCTAGTGATGGACTTTGGGAATGCATAAAAAAAACTTCTGAAAGACAAGGAGGCTCAAAATTAGGGAACGCTGGAGACGTCAACTTAGTGGAGGTGACAAATCAGCTCCAGGTTTAAGTCTGCACATTAAAGGAGTTCTGCAAGATGCTGAACCTGTTTGGGGGAGAGGATTCAACACCTTGATCAGCTTTTGTAATGTCTGGATCAAAACCTGGAGTGGAATTACATTCCCACGGCTGTCAAACTGCAGCCATCAAGGTCCATGCCCACACCCTACATCTTGCAGAAACAGATTTTTAAAATTCTCTAGATCTGTTTTGTAGCAAACAGTGGCTGCAGAGGTAAGACATCTGAGAACATTCTTGAGGGCAGTGACTCAAATTGCCACTAGATGTCACCCTGTCTCTGAACATATCATCACAGTATCTGTCCAAAACAAAAATGTATTTAAAAGAAACATTCTAAGATAGATAGACTAGTGTCTGACTCAGTATAAGGGATTTTTTTCATCTTCTCATCATGGAAAACTAATCTCTGAAACAGGGAGGATTCTGTAGAAAATAAGCAGGTTGTACCTATAACAAATAACAATCATACTCAGGCAGAGATGCTTCATAAGAGTTTATATTCCACCTCCTTTTTTAGACCACAAATAACATCTGAATATATGTAGACAAATGACATGGAAAATATTTGTGGACTTGGTAACTTGTTTTATCTAACTTGGGAGCCAGTTAGATAAAACAATGCTGCATGCAAGGGGGCGGATAACAGCTTCAAGTGGGTGGAGATGATTTTCACCAGGAATATGGCTTGATGCACACCAACACACATTTCCACCAGGCCGTGGTCTTGATTTGGATTTTCACTTCTGTCTGGTAATTATTTAATGAGGGGGGGCCATCTCTTGAGCATAGTTTTGGGTCTCAGTTCTAAGGTCATACAAGCATGAGATACAGCTTGTTTGTCCAAATGTAGTTTAGGTTCTAAGGTCATACAAGCATGAGATACAGGTTGTTTGTCCAAATGTGGTTTAGTCATACAGGTAAAGGTTCCCCTTAACAATTGTCCAATCGTGTCCGACTCTAGGAGGTGGTGCTCATCCCCATTTCCAAGCCATAGAGCCAGCGTTTGTCCGTAGACCGTTTTTGTGGTCTCGTGGCCAGTGCAACTAGACACGGAACACCATGACCTTCCCACCATGGTAATACCTATTTATCTACTTGCATTTTTACATGCTTTCGAACTGCTAGGGTGGCAGGAGCTAGGACAAGCAACGGAAGCTCTCTCCGTTGCATGGATTCGATCTTACGACGGCTGGTCTGCCAACCTTGCAGCACAGAGGCTTCTGTGGTTTAACCAGCAGCACCACCACGACCCTTAGTCAAACAGACCTTACCTGCAAATTGGAGTCTTGCACAAGCTGGAGCTGCTCCTTAATCACATGCAATTCCTCCTGCTGCGTCTTGATGTCGGCCTGCAGGATGCGCGTTCTCTCCTCCAGCTGTTCCTTCAGCTGATGCATCATCCCCATCTGGGCTGGGAAGTGATACACTGGCTGCAAGGACAGGAGGAACACACATTAACAGCCTGGATCTTTTGCACAGCTATGGATTGCTGATTCTCATCATCCCCATCTGGGCTGGGAAGTGATATACTGGCTGCAAGGACAAGAGGAACAGACACATTAACAGCCTGGATCGTTTGCACAGTTATGGATTGCTGATTCCGGAGAAGCTGGGGCTTTTGCATGTGGAACATAAGTATTTATTATTTACTTTAAGAAAAACAACGATTATTTTAAAATAAATGCCTGTTCAATGGGGAGGCATAAAGGGAAGCTCTCATATTTATTATTCATTTCTATTATTTATATGTCACCTCCCCACAAGGCACCCATATATGAAACTTCAGGGCTTAGAAATCATCATCATCATGTGCTGTCAACTCAATTCTGACTTATGGTGACCCTTTTCAGGATTTTCCAGTCAGAGAATACTCAGAAGTGGTCTACCTTCTTCTAGGGTTGCCCTGGGACTGTGCAGATTGCCCAAGGCCATAACAGTTATGTAGCGACTGAGAAATAACTAAATTACATCAAGACTGGAACACAATTTAGGATCATTCCACTCCTTTTGCAAGGTAACCAAAACTGTGTTTTAATGTCTTAGGAGGACGCAATCTCACAACTTAATCCAACAGCTTCTAGTGTTCTGTTGCTTCTTTAAGTAACTACAAAGCAACCATTGAGTTATCTTTGACAAATAAAATAGAGTTACTGTAACTACAATAGTAAGTAACTATTTGAGGAATTTCAAATAGCAGTTGCAACTAAAGATTTCCCAAGCTCAGACTTCATCATTCATAAAGGCTCAGCCAAACAGGCCTTACAAGAGGCATAGAATTACAACTGGAAATATTACAGTCTGGCCTGGAAAAATTACTGCTTTATGGGGGGTGGGAGTAGATAGGCGGTTCTGTGTCCAAAAAAGGAACTTTTCCAAGCTCTGCCACTGTCTTATAGGTGTGTCTCTTCCTGAAAACATCTAGGTTTGCTCAATACTTAAAGCTCCACCATCTGTCCCCCAAGGACTGCCAGTCATCAATCGGAGACAGAAACAAGTACAAATATACCTATAACACAAGGTTCTTACATCACACATTGCATAAAACCAAATGTCATCAGAAAGGAGGCAAATCAATTATCCAAATCCAACTGTGACTCCCAGTGAGAATAAGCAAGTGTCCTTACGTAAGTGTTGATTCTATTATGTAAGTGTTGATTTGATATGCCTATCCTAGTTGAGATTCACAATTGGATTTAGGCCTGTAATGGTGAATTAGGCCTATTGTGTTTCTTCTGCCCGGCAGTTCCACAAAACAAAGATGGGGCTGACGTACCATCGCTTTTTGCTGAGCGGGAGCAGTGGGCTGCACCATGTGATGCTGGGTGAGATGTTCAGTGGGTGTTTGGGGAGTTAATAAACCCTGAGAAAGGAAAAAGAAAGAAAGAAGATGAGACTGTAAACCCTAGTGCATCCAAAGCAAGAATGAATATGATTGTGCCATTCTCTCCGTGAGACTAACTGGGAGGCTTCCTTATTGTCAAAGAGAAAAATCTTCATTGAGTTGGTTAAGCTGTACTATCAAGTGACTAGATGTTCCTTTCTACAGGAAAAAGAAACACAACCCTTTATGCAGAAATCTAACACGTCAGGGAGAAAGGGTTCAGGCTGAGCATTTTCCTTCCTTTGCAATCTTTCTTTGTGCAGGGAATTGTACTGTATAGAGGTGTATTCTGTTCTAGCAACCCCGCCCCGTAACAGGACAACCTGCAGTTTTGCCACCTGAATAAAAACTAGGCATCTTAAATAAATGGCAGCTGTGCAACAGAAGACATCAAAACAAGTGCCCAGTAACTCCTCAAGACAAGGAAGGCACCTCCCTGAAGAGCAGCAAAGCATTGTTCACTCAGGTGTCCCCCAGGCTATGATGGGCAGCTGGCCAACCCTTCGCTTCCGGAAGCACGGCACTGTCAACTTGTTAATGATCAAAATGATCCAATGGTCTTTTTTTTTAAGGGCACAAATGACCATCATTAAAATAATCGAATTATCGTAACATTTTAATTTGCTTTAATTGTACCTATAATTCATATGCACCCATAATTTTAAATGGTGCGATTCTCTGATAGGCATAAAGAAAAAAGAAGACATCAAAACAAGTGCCCAGTAACTCCTCAAGACAAGGAAGGCACCTCCCTGAAGAGCGGCAAAGCATTGTCCACTCAGGTGTCCCCCAGGCTATGATGGGCAGCTGGCCAACCCTTCGCTTCCGGAAGCACGGCACTGTCAACTTGTTAATGATCAAAATGATCCAATGGTCTTTTTTTTTAAGGGCACAAATGACCATTATTAAAATAATCGAATTATTGTAACATTTTAATTTGCTTTAATTGTACCTATAATTCATATGTACCCATAATTTTAAATGGTGCAATTCTCTGATAGGCATAAAGAAAGAAAGAAAACCCTCAGGTATACTTCCTCCTGAACCCAGCCTGTCAGAAGGGTTCTAGTCCTGCAGCTACACTTCCAGCTGTCACAAAATCTGTTTCTACCCTTGGGTTTCTACCCTTTCTGCAGGTCAGTTGACCACACACAGCTGGGCCATGTGAGAACAGTGTCTGTTCGCTGTGACCCAACAACCCCAAAGCCAAGAATAAAAAATCCAGTGCCATTTGCTTTAACAGCAACTGAGTCATCACGTACTGATAAGGTAAGACATACCTAAAGGCTATGAAAAACTTTCCCTGCCCATTGCTGGAAATCAGCCTACTTGTTAAAAGGGCAAGATCAGCCCAGATCTTTGTTTTCCTCCTAAGTCTTTGCTGTAGGTCAACTAAAAAGACCAAGCACCTGAGTCATAAGACCCTCCCGCCATTAGATGGTGGATGCATGATGAACAGCAAAATCTCAACAAGGCAGTGACACTTCCTGCTAGCCTCCCGAAGAGAACCTTTCGGGCGTCCTTCCCAGCTTTCCTTGGCCAAAGAGACCTCCGAGGGGTCAACATGGCTTACCGGGGTGCTGCTGGTTGAGGCAAGCCTCAGAGGGGCCTTCTCGGATTGCCCCATGGGTAACGACGGCCGGGTAGGCGTGCTGGCATCCGTGTGCCGTATAGACGACGTGGCTGCAAAAGAAAAGCATCTTTCAGGCAAGCAGGGATGAGATAAAAGCCTGTTGCTGATATCAAACCTATCCAGGAGTGGAGAAATAGCCAACTACTTCCATGGCAGCAGAAAAGATGTTGAAACCAAAGGTTCCTTAAGTTCCAGGAACAGAATTAGGCGAACTGAGTTGGTTCACATTTCTCTGCCATTCCTGACACCCTTTCTAAGCATACATCCAGTCTTCTCCCTCCCCCCATCAACATGGGAGAAAAAAACTCTGAAAATCTGTTTATGTGTGATAGCTCAAGACGAGGCACTAGACTCTTTCTTCAGCTCTGTTTTGTTTGATTATTGAAATGTTAGCAAATGCAACAAGGAATGACGATTTAATTAGAGGTATGGGTGAGAATAACAAAATAAAGATTAACTGGTTTGCTGATGACAGTTAAAACCCACAGGAAAGTATGGATAGAATTGAAAATTTGGAAAAATAACTGGATTATGTGTAAATGGGCAAAAATCTGAAATAATGTTTAATCATAATAAATTAGAACAAGAAATGTTTGTTGATAAATATGATTTTAGGATATGATAATCTGCTAAATATTTAGATATAGATTTAGTAAAGGATAATCAGAAAATAAAGGTATATAATGATAAACTAAAAAAGGATATCAAACATAAATTACAGGAATATTCCAGTTTGAAACTATCTTGGTTTGGAAGGATTGCACTGATGAAAATGAAGATTTTTACCATAGATTATTTTTTAATTTATTTTATTTTTTATTTAATTAGCAGAAGATGATTTTAAATTTTGGAAGGATTGATTAATAGATATTGTAATGAAGGAAAGAAAGCCAGAATAAATAAAAATTATTGGTATAAGACAATAAAAAAGGAAGCATAGGTATACCCAATATTAAATATTAGTATATGGCTAATCAGCTGAGGTTTATTGGGGAAATGATATATAACCCAGAAAGGTTAATTTGGTGGAAAATGGAATCATCAGAACTACAGGTTGATACTGAAAAACATTTGTTCGGCATAATTGAAAAACATAAATAAGCAACTACAGGTTGATACTGAAAAACATTTGTTTGGCATAATTTAAAAACATAAAATAAGCAAAATTAATAACCCCTTTTTTAAAACTATGTTAAATGTTTGGTATAAGTATTTTAAAAATTATATTAATCTAACTCTCCATTACTGAAATAGAGAATTTCCTGCCAATATGAAAGTCTATTTAGAACTATTTAAGGGGGGAAAAGTGATTAGGATACTGAAAAACATTTGTTTGGCATAATTTAAAAACATAAAATAAGCAAAATTAATAACCCCTTTTTTAAAACTATGTTAAATGTTTGGTATAAGTATTTTAAAAATTATATTAATCTAACTCTCCATTACTGAAATAGAGAATTTCCTGCCAATATGAAAGTCTATTTAGAACTATTTAAGGGGGAAAAAGTGATTAGGTTAAAAGATTGGTCGGATAAAATGAGATCAAATGATCAAACGAAACAAATTCTTCAAAATAAGAATATATCATGGTTGAATTACCATATTTTTCGCTCCATAAGACGCACCTTTCCATAAGACGCACCAATTTTTTAGGAGAAGAAAACAGGAAAATATAATCTGTTTTCTTCGCTCCATAAGACGCACAGACTTTCCACCCCCTGTTTTGTGGCGGAAAAGTGTGTCTTATGGTGCGAAAAATACGGTATATGCAATTAGAAAGATGGACTAATGAATGGGTAAAGAGGTATAATAAAGGTAGAGAATGTACAAAGTATGAACAATTTCTATTATCATATGAAGATATTCAGATGAATAAGTCAGTGAGTGGTACATTGTCACTGATGAAAGGCCTTTGAGGGTATACACAACTGTGTCATGTTATGTGCAAGCCAGGAACATCCCAAATGTGCCAAAAGAATGCATGAACCAGTGGCAATTTGCTGATGACATAGTACAAAAGCAGAGCTACGCAACAGGACTTCAGTCAAAGGAAGTCAACTTCTTTCGTTCCTGTGTTGCTAACGCTCAGGGCACTGGTAAGTAACAACAGAACACTCCAAGACTTCTGGCCCCTGTTTCTCTGCTCCAGGAGCTACTGCTCATCTCTAGCCTTATAAATTGGGGGAGGGATGGAGAAAGGCAGTGAGAACTGGTGTCTGGAGGGGCCAATAGGTTTGGCCTGACTCTGGAACATCCAGATACACTCTGAAACATCCACCAGCTACAATAAAATATTATTTTGATATAACTGGGATTAACTTTTTGACATGGTACGTACATGCAGAGTCAGACAGTGCTGTGTGTGACGACCGGCGGGAACTGTGAGATGACACGGACACCCTTTCACGACTGGTTTCTTGATTGGTTACGCATTGCCGGATGTCAATGTAACTACCGTGGCTCTGGAAGGAGGTAAATCCAAGGAAGCTTGTTATATTATTAGCCTCAGAAAACTATTTACACCTTTAACAAAAGCATATACTGTATTTTTCCATGTATAAGATGATACTTTTGTCTAAAATCTTTAGACTAAAATTGAGGGTTGTCTTATACATGGAAGTAAGCTGAGGAGAGAACAAAAACAAGTGGAGGGGGAAAGCAGGGATCAAAGCGATCTTGCAGCATTTTGATCCCTGCTTTCCCCTCCACTTGCTAAGCCCTGCTTAGATTTCTTAATTTTGGGTTAGAAAAGTGGGGAGGGGGATTTTATACATGGGATGTCCTATACACGGAAAATTCAGTAATATACAGAACACAGCAACAGAAACAATACAATGACCCTCTTCTGATACAGAAGGCATATGGGTTCATTGGACCAACATTTCTGGAGTAACTATATCAGCTGGAGTACCTAGTACTCCCAATAAAGGCGCTTTGGAAAAATTTCTGGTTTCAGCTCTGTTAATTGTGCAAATGTGTGGTTCTTCCCCTAGTGATCGGCTCTGAGGTTGTTTTAGCCTACAGTTTTCTTGTTAGTTTTCAAGACTAGAATGCCCAATATGAGAAGGGAAGAGATAGGTAAGCCAAATGATCCAGTCTTTATTTGTGCATTTCCACAGGCAATAGAAAGGTTTTTCACATGTAAGCGTTCTCTGGCTAGAATTCTGTTGCTTAGTATCATCGTCGTTTAGTTGTGTCCGACTCTTCGTGACCCCATGGACCAGAGTACGCCAGGCCCTCCTGTCTTCCACGTTGCTTAGTATAGTAGGTCACAATTAGAATAGACCCATTAAATCAGTGAAGGAGTTGGCGAGTCAACTATATGGTCCATTTATTCAACAGTTCTATTCCAGTTACAACGCACCATGTTAAGTGGTAAGATTTCAGCTTATAAGTATCAAGTGAATACGAATACTGTGGTTTACGCCCTTTGCTTCCCTATTCCCTTTGCCCACATTGTTGGTGTGCAACAGATTTATGCATATAAATAGAAACATGCCTTTATAATTAGCTCCCTTCTGCCCAATTTCTCCCAACATGTCACAGTCCTTTGGCTTTCAGCAGTAAGTGCAGAATGAATGGATGAATGAATCAGCCAGGCTGACTAGACTAGAAAGAACAACCCATTTACCAATTAAAGAAGGGAAAGTGAGAAGGGGAGGGAAAGAGAAACAGGCCAGTTTATGGAGATATCCTTTACCGGCTTTTATGGCCTTATAATGAGTGTTTCTGATCATATGTGACAACCAAACAGGAATAAGGATGTTCCTATGTCGATAATAAGGTCGCTTTTCCAGTTAAACTACCTAAAAGTCAGCAAATGGAATCAAATCCACACAGAATCCATGTGGTAAACACCATGTTTGGCAAGACACAATACTTCCCAAGTGGAAAAACATTCTGTGTGATATTTATTTACAACTTCTATTAAAAATGAATTGCAGAAAACAGAAGGGGGAAAAATAAGCAGTAGCTTCTGTTCTTTTGCCAAGAAAAAGCAAAAAAAGCAATGCAAAAAAAAATCTTGAATCCTGATCAAAAATGACGATTCTTGTGATGGTGCCAGGTTGTAATCTGATTTGTGTGTGTGTTGAACAATTATGCCAAGGTGTTGTAGAGATAAAATTTTCCTGTTTTTTATTATATGGTTAAGGGTAGATATTAGGCCTAGGTTGGACAATGTAGACTCCCAGTGTGGTGTCATAGATAGAAAGATGGACTAGGACTCAGGACAACAGGATTCGAATCCCTGCTCAGCCATGGACACTCACTGGAGGAGTAGAGTTGGTAAAATTACTCCTGATATCATTCACTTGCCTTGGAAGCCCTATTAGGGTTGTTATAAGTCAGTTCCAAGTTGGTGACACAGAACAAGAACAGAATGGAGAACATGGAGGTCTCTAGTGGCTGTTAGATTCAGCGACATTAAGAGATTCCTCACCCCTTCATGAAGAACTAGATCCAGTGTTAATTCCAGCCAGAGTAAGCCCACTGAAATGAACAAGACGTTTTAGTCACAAGAGTGGTGTCCCAATTATTTCAACAGCTCAACTCTGGCTAGGACTAACACTGGATTTAACACGCAACCCCATAACTTGAAGATCTGAAACTGACCCTGGGAATGAACTTCGCTGAAAAGTATTTTGAGGGATTGCAGTGATGCAAAAATAGTATCTGTGATGTCTGGAACAGAGAACATGGGACCAAGTTGCCAGAAAGGATCGTGTGGATGAATGGCTACACTATTCATATTGCAAATACACCTACTTTTTCACACAAGCCACCTGTCTATTATCTGATGGCTGCCACCCCACAACTTAGTTTCACCTGGAAAGGAAAGAGGGTGAGCCTATCATTGAAATCTAATCTAAAGTTTAAAAATAAGTAAAAATTCAGAAATCATAGAAATGACATGGAAAACCCCAGACAGCTGGATTTTCCATTTAAATTGCTCCAGGGGTGGGGTGGAGGGGTAAGGAGCTTGGCTTGGGGTCTCTCTGGTGTCTCAATATTAAAAGGCCGACAAAGGGTTATTTTTAAAATGTTAACTGAGCTGACCCTGTTAATTGGGCAGGCATGACGAAGCTCAATTGATTATTTTAAAAGGCAATGGAAAGTGTTGTCATGACCACAGCCCTAGCCACACTCTGGGTAGCATAATGCTAAGCTTTAAAACACAAGCACTGGGATCTGGGGGGAGAAAACAGATCGATAAATCATTCCTTCACTCTCATCTCTCCCCGTCTGACGAGAACTGGTGAGTCAGCTTAAAAGCGTAGAACTACAGAGGTAGCAGTTTGAAAAACTGCCAGTTAGCTTCGTGGCCTACAGACACTTCTCACGTAGGGGTAGCACAGGTACAGTATGTGCGTTATATTCTCTCTGTAGTTCAATGGGGGGTGGGGGAGATCCCATAGGCTTAACATAGAGAAGGTGCAGGACTCAAACCCTCCAAACCGCAAAGATGGGAATATTGTGGGTTCCCCCCCCCTTTTCTTTTGAAGTACAACTTTTTCACTCCGGATGGCGATTGGCCACACAGGTTGTGTGATTCTGGGAATCCAAAAAAGTAACTCCCCCCTTCCTACATATTTCAGTTACTTACTTAAAGTAATGGTTCCCAAGCAGGGATCCCCAAGACATTGTTGGACTTCAGCTTCAAGAAGCCAGCATGCCCAGTGGCTAAAGAATCTGTAAGTTGAGCTGGCTGCATGCAAGGATGTCAGGAGAAAAGGCTCAGCAAGAGAATCTCCCGACCCAAGATGTGGGCAAGCTGTTACCCAAACGGACTGCGACTGGCCCAGGGGGTTCCTTGCTCTGACACCACGAGGAAGCAGTTCCCCGACTTTGGGACTCTGGATGTCATGGATGACAACTTCTATCATCCTTGACAGCTGGCTGAGAATGATGAGCGCTGTGATACAACATCCCCTGGGGACCCAGTTTTGGGAAAGGCTTGCAGAAAAAATATTTCTCTGTTCAGGGACTGGCCTTACAGTTAAGCACTGAGATTCTGGTAGCAAGAATCCAGCAGCCATAACAGAGCAGTGAATTGCTGGCCACTTATATGGTCATTATTGTATTTTTTTAAAAAATGTTAGGGAGTGGGAAAAATAGTTGTGCAAGTATCTTTTCCATGTGTCAGAATAACATGATTGGATTTAGGCTCTGCATACCATAGTGCTTGGGGGAGTGTCTCGAGCCAGCCCTGAACTTGCCCTTTTTCTGTCATACCATTTGAGTAAATGGAGACTTGTTCTCACTGAATATTGCAATGGTTTGATATTTCCTATTAAGACACCTGGCATGATCAGAAAGTGTCAAAAGCAGAACTCTCCAAATGACTTCAGAACGTTCACACATTCTGGGCAGGTTGTAATTTAACTGGGGTTAAAAGCGACGCCCTGCATCACACTGATTGGAATCCATTCAGTGTTTGTGTAAGGTGAACTTGCTGTGGCTAATAGTGTTTCACTGATAAGGTCTCAAGCTGTGTCTTGGTTGCACAGACACATGATCAAGTGCACAACCAAGACTTTTCCATGTATCTTATCAATTAGTTGCAATTAGCCACAGCACGTTATGCATGCCTTATGAGAACAGCATAGGAGACTCTGGCCTGTGTTTCTTAAAAAAATATCCAGCAGAAGTGTGTTAATTGATCCAGCTAGCAATCTCAGAAGCAGTCAAGCAGGATTGCTTGCAAAAACAAATGCTGCTCTCTGAACAGCAGCAAACAGGAATCAGTTTTACAGCCTGTTTTGAGCAGATGGAAAGGGTCACTCTCTCCTCCACCCTGTGAACTGCCTCCACCTCCTCTTTCCTGACCTTCCCCAAAAGGTAAAATTTCTGGCCTATGGGCAGAAGGCACCTTGTTAGCATCTTCATCGATTTCTGCACTGGGTTCATGCAAAGCTTCTACGCTTCTGTGACTGGAATTGCTGGCAAAAGGTTGAACCCTTTTCAGGTAGGCCACAAAGTCTTTGTGCATCCTTAGATTCCCCAGAAAAAGCATCACGTTTGAGTTGCCGATTGTAAAGCCATATTAGTGTTCTGTCAATAGTGTTTGATCGACAGTGGCTTATTCAGGCATGCATCACATTCACAGAGAAGAGGTATGGAAATGCCATGTTGAAATATTATGCGTAGACATTTGTGTTTTTTTAAAGAAGCTTTGCCAGTATGGGTTCTGATCCTGCAAACTATATGCTCCCTTCACATGCAACTTCTTCCCCAAAGAGAGGCAACCTGTTAGTCTCCTAATAATACATTTTCAAAAATTTTGAAATGGGTGCAAAGTTAAAGCTCACCCATATCTTGCAAGACAACAGAACACCATGTGTTGGGACAAACACACCGTAAAAAACAAATGTGACAACATAAATATAGATTCAATTGTTGGTGTTTTGTGCCGTCAAGCTGGAACTCACTTGCAGCAACCCTAATAGGGCTTCCAAGGTGACTGAGATATTTAAGGAGTGGTTTTACCAGTCCCACTCCTCTAGTGAGTTTCCATGGCCAAGTGGGGATTCGAACCCTGTTCTGCAGAGTCCTAGCAATCCAATGACATCACCAATATAAGGGCAACTTAGAAAGGCCAGCTTTTTAGAAGAAATTTCAATTATACACATGAAATTCCTTTAGGATGAATCCTTTGTGGACTTAAATTGAAGAAGGCAGAAACCCTCCAACCTTACTCTGGCTTCCCTGTACCAAAGCTTTTCAAAACTACGAATTCTTTGAGCACTAGACAACCGCACAATCTCCTGCCTGCTCTGGTTGGCACACAATTACCTTCAAGGATGAAGAGGCCAGTTCAACAGACGACTCTTCAAGACCAAGGTCTCTTCTTCTTTCAGCTCGAACCTCAGCGTAACTTTAAAAAAGAGAAAGAAAGAAAGGAAAAGATAGGAAAAGGAAGGACAAAGGGGCTTTCAATGCAATGAAGCACATTTAGATAGAAACATTTTATTACAGTCGGTGTCCAATATCCACAATACAAATAAACCATAAATACATAAAATATGTTATTCCAAGGACCTGCATGACTATTGCCCTAAAAACATAAAAATAAATGAATCCCCCAAATCTCTTAGCAGCATAATGAGCACATTTTATTTTGTTCCCCCTTTGTTTTTTCCCCATCAAACTACAATACTCTCTTTTGAAAATGTGATCTTTCCATACATACCCCTATGGATAGCATCTTCATTACCATTGGGGATTCAGTCATTCACATTTTTAAAGTTTCCACCCTGATTTCCCTTAAATAATGAAAGATTTGTGAACAGGCTCCAGCTTGGCATTCCCTGTCCCTATGTTGAAGATTCTGCACATTTTATTATCTACTGCCCCCATTGAGGGCCAGATTTTAGGGAGTCCTTTGTGGAGAGGGTGCTAATAAAATACAGCTTTTTTTAATAGTATGGACAACATAAAAAATAACTAGGAAGGCTGCCCATTATGTTAGTTGCCAAAATTCATCTTGGAATAGAAATCTCAAGTAAGAATTTTGATTCAGTAGGACATGGGCTTTTTAAGTATGACTTAAAGGCTATGACAGTTATACAATGTTTACTTCATATTGTCAGTCATACAGCTATCTTCTTGCTTTATAATGGTCCGAGGACTACACGTGAGCAAACTAAGCTGAACTGCATGCAGGTCACACAGGATATTTTCCAGGCTACACTGAGACTTAGCATTACAAGGCTGAGCTACTGTAAACCAGGAGCTCATGTGCCTCTCTGTCTTCTCCTCCTTTATAGCAGTCAAAAGGAAATTGGAAGCATCTGCTTTTGTGCTGCATTAACTACAATGAGCAATATAATTAAAAAACAAAACAAAACCTACAATTAGCAATAGAGCTCAACTTCTGCAATGGGCTAGTTTAACCATTTGGAAAGAGAAGCCAGCTTTGTAAACAATGTTTTGATCCTGGCTTCTTTCAACTAACCATAATTAAGACCTATTACAGTTTATCTAAGTTCAAACATCCCAAGAAACTGCAAGCAGCAAGTTGTGAAAGCTTGGAGACTCCTTCTTGCCTCAATAAATGAAGGAGCATTAAAACTCCAGGTTTGGAGTTCTTCCTAGTCCAATTGTCAACCATAATCATTTAATATAACTAAGTACCTCTGCAAGCCAATACACAAATTGCCAAATAGTTGACCAAGCAGTGTCATGGTTGAAAGTGCAGATACAACGCAGCAGACCCTGGGCAGAGTTGCTTACCTAACAACGGTGTGAGTGCAGACAATAAACTCAGGCTTGGAGTTCCACTGATGGTAGGTGATGTAATAGTGTGTTTGCAACCAGATCCACTGCTGACCTTTAGTCAAGAATCTGTAATAGCAGGATTTCCCTTTTCCAAACTGCATCACTGTATAGAAAAACAATCCTTCTGTTAAACACCAACATGGAACATTAGGGTTTGTTATCAATCACCTCTCCTCTTGACTTGTATATTAAAAGCAAAGCTGGGAATTGTTACTATAAAAAAACAATTAGCAAATTTTGTCATCAGCTCCCAGAACTAGAGGGACAAAACAAACAAACACTTTTCCTTAATTAGAGAAAAATATATTTACAAACTCCCACAACAACTTAGAATTAACTAGTTACAAGTGGCGGGTGCCTGTTTGGTAACAAGGGTGTCACTAAGTGCCAAAGTAATTGATTTAGCATTACATGAAAAAGTGAAAATGCTAAAATTTCAAAAGTAATGAAAGGAGTAGTTCCAAAGTTACTTTTTGTTGTAACAAGTAAAATGTTCTAGTTATTTGCAAGTTACTTAGTTATGGAGACATTTTGGCAGACTTTTTTTTAAGTTTTATGTGACTCTTTTATCAACTCTATGTGCCCAAAAAAGGGGGTTATTTTGTTTGGTGATTTAGAATATTTTTATTTTTGAGGTACAATATCGGGATTGACCACAAGAGAGAACCAGAGAGTATTCCTTGGTACTTTTCTGACATGTTGGTGGTGGCAATGCACTATGTTTACAATGAAGAATGCTTGGAATTACTGATGTGAACAGAGCACTGCTAATGGTAACCAGATTATGTCTAAGCAATGAGTAACACAATGGGTTCTTTAAAAAAATAAATAACACGGCAGACTCTGCCCCACATATGCCAGAGTAACACCCTTGACATAGGCCCAGATCCAAAGAACTAGTTAAGGCCTGCCTAACAGCCCTGAATGTGGCATCTGGTATTTGATTCCACCCTCTCCATGTGTACACACACCCTTCAAACCTCACAAGACTCTCCCCCTATACCACATCAGGAATTCCTTTTGAATGAAGTTATAAAACAATGTGTTGCGTACGGTGGGGAATACTTTGGTGTTCTCAAAGTTGCCATGTTGGGAACCAGAGATGCCACCCTTTTCAGAGAAGTCAATTTAAAAGTACAGTACACACATTTTCAAATACAGTTGCCTTAATGAAACAGTTAGAAACCAAAGGCCTGAAAAGACTTCGGCATTCATCTGAAATGCTCATAGTATTTACATCTTCAAACTTGCAAACAGGTCTATCTCTGCATTGACTAAAATAGCCTGAGTTGGTTGACAAACTGCACATTTGCAAATTGTTGTGCCCATCCCAAACCAATGTTGTGTGTCTTGTGACCTATCAAGCCGAAATTGGTCCACTAAGTCAGGATCTCAACAAAACCCAGCTTCTATTGACCTCTTCTCATGACCAGAACATTTTAAAAGGGAGTGGATGGGAAAGAACTTGGCAGTGCATAATACCCAAATTTAGGGTGGGAGGGATAAAAATTAAAAGCCAAGAAAACCTGGGACTGATAAGAGAATTCTGTAAAACATGAAAAATCTCACAAAATGCTTCTAAAATATGTCCTTTAAAAGGAAGTATTAAATGCTGCTTATTAGACTACAAGAGCATTTCATTCCTCATATTTAAATTACTTTAGAAATATAAGTGTGTTCTACTCTCGAAAAAGGAGGTCAGCCTAAATGCTAAACTTTGTCAGGTTTTACCTCACTTCTGTACTTGGCATTTAGCATGGTTTCTTTTGTGATCGGGCATTTGAAATTAATTTGGGCTTGAGTTTACTAGTCTGGGTGCTGAAGCATGTATCTCCAGGCAAACTGCATTACAACAGGAAGAATGGAGTAATTCTCTGCAATCCACATTCTTTTTTATCATCTAGTTCAACCTTGAGTTACCTGGGACATCATTCTTCTATAGGAATGATCAAGGTAGGGTTTTCTAGGTATATAGAAAAGGAGCCTCATGGCACAGAGTTTAAACCGCTGTACTGCAGCCAAAACCGCTCACGACCTGGGGTTCAATCCCAGGTAGCCGGCTCAAGGTTGACTCTGCTTTCTATCCTTCGGAGGTTGGTAAAATGAGTACCCAGCTTGCTATGGGGTGGTCTATCCTTCAGAGGTTGGTAAAATGAGTAATCGGCTTGCTATGGGGTGGGGGGCGCAATGTGCAGCCTGCAAAATTAACCTGTAAACCTCCCAGAGAGTGCTTTAAGTGCTATATAAGCAGCATGCTTTGCTCTTTCTAGGTAGAGAATACTCAAAAGTAGTTTAACATTCCTTTTTTCTGGGGGTGCCCTGCGCCTGTGCAGCTTGCCCAAAGCCGCACAGGTTATTCGCACGAGGCACATACTTCTAATCTCTGCATAATCTTCCATGCTTCCAATTTCTAGGTTATAAACTGTAGAGACCTGGTTATTATTTTTCTAGACACTTGGTATGTCAGCTCCGAACGGTGAGTGACTTTCTCTTGCTCCTTTTGTCCATCCCAGCTTGTAACTGAAATTTAGCCAACTCTGGCACGGTGAGTTAAGGGCAGCAAGACAACCTACCCTTGATCTATAGTTGTTAATCATCATCATCATCATCATCATCATCACCTTGGCATTGCAGAGCCAATGGGATCCAGTGGACCATCAAGCCCAGCCCCTGTCAAAGAGGCCCAGTAGGGGAATTGAACTCCCAACTTCTGGCTCAGCAGTCAGATACCTAAACCACCAAGTTATCCAGCAATTCCTAAATACTAGTGAATATTTCCAGGTCTCAAAATGAAAACCTTTAATGAAATTGACAAGGAAGATTCCTGTGTTGGTGCTGAAAGATTTCTATCTTTCAAACCGCATCCCAAGCACTGGCACAGCTTTAAAGTAGGAAAACAAAACTCAGACAGAGAGACAGAATGAACTGCCATTCAAGGGTGCTCACAGCTGTTGCTTTCCTAGCACTCTGATGCAAAAACTCTTTTAAGATTAAAGATGAAGATGCCCTAAGTCACATCAGGTTGTGAAAAACTACAGGAGAACACTCCCTAAGTTAGGGTTGCTGCTCATAAATGCCTTTTTTAAAATACTATTAGCAGCAACCTGATATGCAGAGGTGTTTAGCAGCAAGACTTTTTTCTAGCATCTGGTTTCCACCTGCTGAATTTATGCATGTTTACAGGCTGTGGCTACAGGCACAGATGCAGTGCCAATAAAAAAATAGTAGCCAGTATACTCAGAACAGTCACCAACCAGCCTCGTTAGCTTATAGTCAGAGAGACAGGCAAGGTTTGAAAACGCCCAAGGAGATCTAAAAGAGAAACGAACAACAAAACTTGGCAGTAGGTTAAGTACGCCTCTTAATCTAGTTAATGAGAACATCCAGCACACTCTGTAACAGGTCAGGCAATCCTAACACTGCCAAGAGTTGGGGTGAGCTGTACAGAACATATCGGTTTAATTCTTGTTACTCCAGCACTGCAGCCAGAAGGGTAGGCATCGCCTCGTTAGAGTTTTAATGTGCAAATCAAATAATCCCTGGGCTTGATCTGTTGTCTGTAGTTACCAGGACTGAGAGAGAGAGAGAGAGAGAGAGAAGAGCTCCCTTGTGTAACCTCAAAGCGATTTATGAAGAAGGAAAGTATGCCAGAGCCTAGGTTCATTCAAAACAGAATAATACTGTTCTATGGGAATATTAACAACAACGGCATTGACTTAAGATGGCTGTATATCTGTTGTCCTTTTTTTACTGAAGACAGTTCTCTGTTTGAAAGGCTGTTCTATGAAACTGTTTGCCTTGCAACCAACAAAGGATTTCCTCTGAATTCCTCCCTAAAAAGACAAAATGATTCAGATGACAGCTGTCCCAACCTTGTTGGCAAAATAGCAAACTTCTGAGTTCCGTAGAGAAAACACAGAAGTACCAGACAACACCCAGCAATCATTATGTTAGACTGCACAGGGAAGCCATTGAAATCCACAAACATCAGCACAGTTTCAACAAAAAAGAAGAAAGTTTAAAAGTCAACAAAGCCTGGCTCCC